GTCAGTAGTCCTTAGGATCTCTTCTTGTAAGCGAATAAAAGCCTTCGCACCTTCTCCATAAAGTAAGGGCATGTGAATGTCGAAGAGGCCGAGCAAGCAGTAGGCAACATCTTCGACACGAGTACTTTGCCGATGTGCTGCCCAAGACATCCTCTCCGCAACGGAGAACTCACTAACAGTACCTCTGTCGTCGAGTACCCGAACTGGTATACCCGTGGCGTCAGATAGCTCCTCCAGAAACTCTACCTTCTCGCCCATCAAGGTCCAGTCCTGGAAGTAGAAGCGACATAGAACCGGTGCAATCAGTTCTTGTAGGGTCCAACCGCGACGCGTCCACCGAGAAGACTTTAGTGAATCTCTTGCAATTTCGGAAGCGGTTGTGTACCCATTTGGACGTGGTTTGGGAATGTCGCCCAGATAGACGATGCAGACCTCCGCATCTCGGTACCAGCGATACATGGAGTTGATGGCTTCTTGTAGCTCCGCACTTGATGTCTTGTCAATACAGCACGTGTCAACCCAAAGATAGTGACAGCCTTGGCCTTGCGCCTGCTCAGCTGCGTTCACAATCTTGCTGTAGCCGACGCGCGTCATAAGGTCCTTCTCCGATAAACCTCCCAAAGGCATCTCGGAACTGCCTCGAATCATCATCTCCAACGCCAACATCAGTGTAGTTCGCGCATCCTGACTGCCTGTTGATGCCGACGCTAAGTTGGTAGAAGCGGACAGTGCTCGAGCTCTGCTAATCCAGACGTATTCCTGGTAGTTGACTTCATCTCTGCCCCAGGTGTGAGAAAGGATGGCGTATTTTGGGACAGAGTCATCATTGAACCATCTAAGCTCGAGTGTCCTGACATCGATGAGTCGCATAACAGACGCTGAGCGACGTGTCGGCGTGGGTGATCATTGGCGTAGAGAGACCAAGCGGGGTGCGTGCCCCCGATGAGCCGAATCGTTTTGGGCTTTGCGCTAGACCCAATGGGCTGCCCTATACGAAGCTGCTCGTAACTTCAGACTCTTAAAGCATTTCCTCACGACGAATGCCGGTACCATCATAGACTGGAACATGCACGACGCTCGGAGAGCGATGCTTCCATAGCCGTAAATCGTAGCTAGGGATGTGTATCCTTATCGCGAGACTACGGTACGGCATCGGGGTTAACAGCGATTGGTGCATGTTAAAGTACGGAGTCCGACGATAGTCCTTGTCACTGCAGCCCTTGACATGGCGTCACGTATATTGGATAGCTGTCGTGACACCTTGCCGATGCTTGCACCAAATTACCATGACACCCTGACCCCAGCGCGAACACAAAGTCTGTCATCACAACAATGAATGCGAGCGGAAGGTCTGCAGCGAGTGTATTAGTTGCTAAGAGAAGGTGCTGGAGAAAGTAAAAAATGGCTAAGGATACAGATAAGGTAACACGCGGCAACCGTACGTAGGAGATCCACCAACTGCTATCCATGTCATCTCCAATCATGTCCCCGGTGTCACAAATGTTGGAACGCGCATAGTCCCCGGGTACGTTGCCGATTTCATGGGCACCACACGCGACGCAAGCTGCGCCGACTCCGTGTACTCGTGCCGCTCCATAATAACCCCCCATACACACTCAGTATTCTCCATCAAGCATGATCTCCGAGGCGCTGCAAAGGAGTCGATACATGCCAGATGTGTAGCTGCGCGCTATCAGACTCGATCCGCGGCGTCTTCGTGCGAGAAACCGAATTTGCGGTCTACCCGGATGCAGTTGTCCTCGACGCTCGTGCGGTGGTCACGGTATATGGGAGCAGTGGCAGAGCTCATATGATCTTTGTTCATGGTATCCGACCACGAGCTCATCTGAGAACTATTTCCACAGGCGGTGGAACTGTCCGTCAAAGTAGACGTTGCGGGCTTGCCATGGAGCTTGTTCTTGGTGGATCGTAGGCCTCTGGGAGCAGCGTTTTGATCGTGGGCAACACCCGCCCACATAGCCGAGAGGGGAAGGAAGATGCAGACGATTGTGAGAACGTGGGAGACAATCTCAGGGGGGATGCTCTCAACAAATTGGAGAGATGTGAAAATAGCTACACGTACGTTAGTAAATGTCAGTGTTCAGCGTGGCAAAGAGAGACGAACCTGGTATTGACATTGTCTGACAGCCCATGATGAAGACGATCTGCATCGGTCCAAATCTAGGCATGTTGAGACGGCGCCTCTGAAGGATGGCATGTCCCAATTTCCAGGTGAACACGCAACTGAATAACCAGATGGATATAGTTTGCATGATGTAGGTCATCCCGTCCAGTGCTGCCAGAGAATCGGGTGACACATTGTCCAATGCGTATTTGGTATTCAGGTAGACGAAAGCGAACTTGACTCCAAAAGCAGCGCAGGCCACTGTGGTGGTTGCACCCATGATGATGGTGCGATGTAGAGGTGGTGTAGTGACGCATACGATCCAGACTTGGAGACTGAGTGAAGCGTAGACTAGGATAGCGACGATAAGACTGAAAACGTTGATTAAGACGTAGATAGCCCAGTCCGCATTGGTCAGAGGTGGTGAATATGGGGTAACATCGCTGTAAGGGTCGTTCCAGGTGCTGCTAAGATACATGGCGAGAAGCAGGCAGCGGATGGTGTTGGTGAAGAGGGAAGCGGTGTTGAGGTAGAAGATGAAGGACTTCCGCTTCTCAGCCTTGGTCAAGAGGACGAGAACAACCAGAAGCATGATCGATACACCAAGACCTACCCCATTGCTGGTAGCAAGGCGGGCGGTGTTCACGCTCCAATAGTTGACATCCGCCATGTTGACTGTGGTGACTGCCCATTTGGGTTCGTCGCCCATCACAACCGGCACGATGAGGGTGAAGTTTTGGGTCCACGGCTTGAAGCCGGGCGGAACCTGGAAGTTGGACGGAAGGTCAACGGCGTGGAAGTCGTCAGCCATAACGGCTCCTACTGCTAGCAGTCTTTGGAGGTTATAGAGGTAGTGCTGTTTGGCCGTAAGTCCAGGGGAGGAACAGAGTCTGACGGAGTTGGGTCTGGAGGTAACAATTTGGAAGAAAGGTAGAAAGTACTAGAGGTTGAAGAAGGAATGAAGGAGTCCTGCAGCAACGAGAGTCGAAACTGTATCGTTTATATCAGAGTTATATAATAGCTAGATGGCAAGGTTGGTTCTGTGCTGCAGATTGGTGGCATGCAGGGTCATCGAGAAAGTGACGGGGAGTGATGGCTTTCGGATCCCGAGCGGATAATAGCAGCGGCAGCGTGCGATTGTTTCGATATCCCCACTCACAACTATAGCTAGCCAAAGCGAGGACGAAGATGAAGTCTTAGAGTTACCTGGAGCCCTTACTATTGTTCCATGGTCCCTTCACCTGCATGCGTCCGGATACTCGCCTCGGTCTGTAAACGCTTGACCAATGCTCGCCGCTGGTGCTCTTCTCCTGTCTTACAGTGAGTCGCAGAGTCGCTCATAGTGAGTTGGATAATTGCGAGATGCGCTGTTTGCAGTGTGCGATGGTTGTGATGAGATAGCGCGAATTCCTTACTATTGTTCTCCATCTTCGACTGTCTGAGCTTTGAGACTGTTGGGCGGTGGTGTTCGTGAGAACTGGGACCAACGGCAGTTGAGATGCACAGCAACCAAATTAAGTACACGAGTTACCGTTGTACAGGTATCGTCCTTCGAATCCATATCCTTGCTGTAACTAGAGGAGGTAGCGGCGTACGGCTGGCAGGCACAAAGGGAAGGTCAGCGTGAGCGTGAGTGGCAAATCAGCAGATGGCCCCACTTATTATGCGCGTCACCGCTAGCCCAGCTGCGCCTTCCGTAAACGTGACCACGCGTTGAATCCAACATTCGCGATCAAGCAACCGCCACGACGCGTCAACCGGCCCAGAATGTGGACATTGATATCGTCACATACCACGGGAGCGCCGGGCTCCTCGGAGTATGCCCTACCAGAAACAGGGACAGTACACATCGTCAACAAAGTCCATCCTGGCGTGGTTCGCATTATAGCAGTGCCCGCAGTCGTACCTGAGCTCGGTCGCATCGGTAGGTTCGCCGAAGAGGCTCGAGACATCCACTGACTATGGTAGATTCTGGGCCATGTGGGGTCAAACTGGAAGCCATCACAGCTTCATTAAGCATCTTGCCTGGCCAAGCACACGCCAGCAGTCTATCATCGGCTGCTAGATACGAGTTGCAACCACAGAGCGACGGACGCTCAGAAACAATATTCTTGCGTCATGGCGATCAGATCCATGTTCCAAATGCTGAATCTTACCTGACTTGTCAGTGGACAGACTCGGAGGTCCAGGTCAACTCATCGGCCGCTGACGCTATGAGAATCGCGGTGACACCTGAAGAAGCCCAGAGCGAGGGCGATGGTACGAAAGATCCCGCCGTCAATGTAGCAAAGTCACAACCTCGCGCAACCCCTCAGCTTTCGAATCAACGATCAACTACTGTGATCCAGGAGACCCCAACCGCTGCGCGTACAGGGAATGTTACAGATATTTACGAAGCAGACGTTCAGGAAGCAGAAGCTTTCTCGACCGCCCGTACTGGCGAGTCACAGGATCAGATGCAACCACAGCTGCCTCTGAATGCTAGAACATCTTCGCCGCGAGTACACATACCATCGAGGTCAGCTAAGAAACGAACACGGTCCCTAGCCGATGATGCGGACGCAGATGCATCCAAGTCTGACAACGGGGCATTTGCTGGGCCTAGCAAGCGCGCCAAAACAAGCGATAGCGACACAGAAGACAGTCGCCTGAGCAACGTCGACGTTGCTCAGCCCGAACAATCCGCCCCACCACGATCGCAGAGGGGTTCGCAACGATCCATATCTACTACTACAGTTAGAGAGGACTACGATGGCCCGGTTTCCCGTGTAGCCTGCAGCAACTCCACCATTACGAAAGCAAGTGCGGCTGTCAAGTTCCTGAAGAAACAAGGTGGAGCGTTTGTAGAGAATCTGGCTGATGACTTCAATGTACTATGGTAAGTACTACACTGTCTTTGCTGTTGTGTCACCATGCTAACCGATTAAAGCGTACGAGATGGTGATCTCCAAAAGACAACAAAAGTACTTTATGCAATCGCACGCGGCATTCCTATCGTTACAGACCAATGGCTATTGGAATCTGCATCAGCTAAGCGCCTGCTTGCCGTTTCCGCTTTCAAGCCATCCATACCTAAGCAAGAAGAGGAGTGGAAGATCAAGCTTGACGACATCCTCGAAAAGCCGCAAACTCCGTTCGCCGACTTCGCTGTTCACTTTACGAAAAGCCTCAAGACGAGATACGCATCTTCATTCTCTGACATTGAGGCTGTCTGCAAAGCCGCGGGCGCGACGAGCGTGACGAGTGGTGCGACGAAGATCAAGAAGACAGGAAATACCATTGCCCTCGCTGCAGACGAAGATGATGTGGAGGCACAAAAACTGATCAAAGACGGAATAACATGCTACACAAAGGACTTCTTCACATACAGTATCCTGCGGGGCGTCGTTGACCTCGAGAGCGACGAGTTCAAGATCGAAGGAGCCGCAGCGGGCGAGACACCTTTAAAAGAGCAGAAGAAGAAACGAAGCCGGAAGAGTAACTAGGCACGTACCGAGGAGTCAATAGTCAAAGACGGGCCCGGAATCATGATTTTCCTAACTACATGTTAACTGCATAGCGGGCGGAGCATAGGCCTTTTCCGGCTCACACCAGGCGATGGATACGGAGGAAATCCGTTCATATCACATTATACCCACTTCCATCATCGTAACAGAGCAACTCAGTAGCAATACTATCAATCAAATTACCATACAACGCTTATCATAGCATCACTGCCGTCGTATGCTCCGGTAAGCGAGCAAGACCCACATCATCCCCCACCATAACATACATGTCCCCGATGCTGCCGATGTTTGCTCGCCTGAAGTACATTGGGGGATTAAGTGCGAGGTTTGCCAGGCGATTAGTACGATGCAATTTCCAAAACCCTCCATCAAGAAGTGCAACAGCGCATTTCGATAATCCTCTGTGGCGCAATTGGCTAGCGCGTCTGACTGTTACTACACCAGTAGCTAGTTATCAGGAGGTTGGAAGTTCGAGCCTTCCCGGAGGAGGATTACTTTTTGCTGGGCGTTGGTGCTTAGACTTGTGAGACTGCTCGAGGGGGGGATGGGGTTTGGAGCTTTTTTTTTCTGGCTGAGGATGTGCGTGGCTGCGATGCTAGCGTGTAGCGGGGAAACACGAAGTATAGAGAACATCGTCACAATAACGCGATGCGCAATTGTCTTTACTCGATAGATATCCGTTACACTGTCTATCTAGAGATGCACAAACACAGGGAGTCACAGTTTTATCAATGCAGGTGCAGTAAGATCTATCAGTTTGCGACTAGTTGTGTTGCTCAAGTTCATCGATTGCCAGACACTATACGCATCTCCGATGTAATCCCAACTAGATCTTGACCAGATTCAACTATGCCCTTCCAACCTTGAAGCTCAATATCTGTGTCTCGTTAGCGACTCGTCTAATTTCATGTTCATGGCATACTCACATCGTTCTTTCCCACAGCAACTACATCATCTTCCGCCACTCTCCTTCCACCCTCCGTCTCGACATACGCCATCGGCGCGTCACCCATGACCTTCCTATACACATCACCGACCGTGCTACCCTTCTTAACAAGCACGCAATCTCTAAAGACAGCCGTCGAGCTTGCACTACCACTTGTATACGCGTGAATGTTGCGGACCGGGAAGACTGGAACCAGACCGAGGAGTTCTGCCGCTCGCGACAGGACTTGTACCACGCCCGTACTGCCGAACCGGTAAAGAACCATGTCTTTGAGGTTTTCGATTCGTGTTTTGAGCTTCTCGTCCAATTCCTTTAGTCCGCCTCCATCGGGGTCGCCTTGCTCAATCAGGTCTTCTCTTGTATCGACGAACTCGCTGCCCTCTGTGTATTTGATGAAGCCCTGTTTCGCTAGTTTCCGCAGAAAGACTTCAGATATCGCGCTGCAAAGCACTATGCTCTTGGCATTTACCTGTTTCGCAATCTTCGCAATGTTCTTGTCGGCGTCGGGATGGTCGATCTTGTTGAGGGCGATGACGGTAGGGAATTTCTCGTCGGTGAAGGCGTTTACGACTCGTTCGATGGTCTCGTTTGACCAGTCTTGTAGAGGCTCCTTGAGCGCAAGGCGATCGAGACAGCGCGCAACGACGCTTGACGTGGATCCGTAACCTGAGAACTGGTTTTGTAGTGTCTCGACTGCCGTGGCTTTGATAGCGACATGCCTCCTCTTGATACTCCCCCATTTCTCCATCAAGTTGCCTTGTATCCATCGCACAATCTCGCTCCTCAGCCAAACGATGTCTTGACTTGGGTCGTAGCCTCTTGTCGCCTTGCCCTCCGCGTCGGTCGTCCCGCTCACGTCCACCACGTGTACAAGCGCATCTGCGTGTCGCAAGTCGTCTAAGAACCTGTTTCCGAGGCCTTTTCCCATGTGTGCGCCTGGTACGAGCCCGGCGACATCGAGAAGTTCTATAGGGACCGACCGCCGTCCTTCGACACAGCCGCCGTAGTTGGGTTTGCAGCGATCAGCGAGACCGAGGCGCGCGCAGGGGCATTCGATTTGGAGGTAGCCGATGGCGCGCTGGGGGTCGATGGTGGTGAATCTGGACGTAGCATTAGGAGCTGACGATACGAAGAATCGAGCGCCGTGTGCGCTGCGCAGTCGCATTCCAAGGATCGGAGAGGGATGACTTACGGGAAGTTACCTACTCATAATCAGCCTACATAGCTCCCAGCATTTTCAAACATGTACGGACCGACTTTGGAGGTAGCATCTGTCAAGCTGCCATGAAATCCATCTTAGAAAGATCCACGAAAGAGGGGTGGAGGGGCATTGCGCACCTGTTCAGTGTAGTCGACTTGCCGGACGAAGGCTTGCCGACGAGGCCGATTAGCGGGTCGCGAGGCATGTCTAAGGAATGTAAAGAAGGAAGAACGGGGGTATCAAAGAAGGCTAGTCGAGTGCTGATGGTTGCAGTGCGAAAGCCAGCATTGTCAAATTCGCGACCGCCCTTATCGATAACGCACTGACATCACACAAGGCTGCAGCTCGTCATCACTCATGCGTTCATTCAGGCAGATGGGCAATGCTTATACTCGACTCCATACGACCCAGCACCCCTTACATTACGATATCTAGAAGATGTCTATCTTGCTACAACGCCCTAGAATGCTGTTCATATCAAGATTCAATATCCTCCCTCCTATCCAATAAACCAATCAATACACCTTGTTGAAAATATGCTCCAAAGAGAGACTTTTTCGGGGGTATAACGTCGCTGAATGGGAAAACATAAACATTCGCAACCACATCTGCACAAAAGTCCGGATCAGCCCCAACCCCGAAGCCGCCAGCGGGGTAGACCCCATATTAGATAGTAGAAACCTCATGAGATGCCCAGTAATCGTTAATCTATATTGAGAATATCTCTCGGTTTCGTAAGGTTATGTGTGCGTTTTCTGAAGCCTTGTTAGCTACTCATCGATATTAAGCTGGCCGGGATGCTCTGAACTTACGAGACTGGCAATAGCCGCCGCCGAAGCGAGGTCTGGTTTGCCTGACACACTGCGCTGTGCTGCGCGCGGCAGTCCACTTCCACCTGCGCCATTGAGTGGCGCTCCGTTTGCTGCACGCTTAGTACCTGCTGTTCCAGGTGCAAGTCCTTGCACGGTGGAGTGGCGTCTCGCAGGAGCAGATGTTTTCACAGGTGAGTTGCTGTTCGACACCTGACGTTGTCCGCTGGCTGCGGTCCCGTTTCTGAAGCTAGACACGGGAGGCTCGGGAAGAGGTCGGACACGTGGCTGTGCCGACTGTGGGGGCGGCATTCGCTTCGCAGGTGAAGACGTGCCGGACGGGGCGTTGAATGGTCGTCGTTGTTGATTGGTTTTGCGTACGCCAGTGATGAACTCATGCTGCATCGCTTCATCGGGCTTCATTCGACGTTCGGGATCCCAACGCAGACAGCGCGTAATGAAGTCAAGGAAGGCCTCATCGTCACACTTTAGAGCTTGTTGCAGTGTCTTCGAGCTGGGTCGTCGCCTGCGGCCCTTCGAGGAAACAGTGACTCTGGGCTTGCCAAGGGAGTCGAAGAACAACTTCTTCCTGCTACTCTTCTCGATAAGGTGCTTCTCTGGAGGTCCGAATATCTCCATAATGCAAGCAAGCTGCTCCTGTTCGTTCTCTCCAGGGAATATGGGGTAACCGGTGAGCAGCTCGGCAAGGATGCAACCCAAACTCCACATGTCTATCGGCAGACCGTAGCTCATGCCGAGGATGACCTCCGGCGATCGGTAGAATCGCGATTGAATGTAAGTATAGACCTTCTCGGTTTCGAAGCAACTGGATCCGAAATCGATAACCTTAATCTCCGAGTGTAGCGGGTGCGCAAGTAGAATGTTCTCTGGCTTCAGATCGCAATGGATAACTTTCTGGGTCTTCAAGAGGGTCAACGAAGCCAGCATCTGTTTGCAGAATCGGCGGATTAGGCGTAGGGAGAAGCCCTTGAACTCGTGTGCCTTGATGAACTCGTACAGATTCATGCCAAGAAGCTCGGTCGAGATGCAAAGATGGCCACGGAAGTAGAAGCTCTGGGTGAAGTTGATCATACTGTGCTTGTTATCGGGGTCCTGGATATCGTTAGCAAGCTTACTCTGGATACTGGATGCATCTTTCTTACCCATTCGCGTAGCTTCTGAAGAATGTTGACTTCGACCAGAGCTTGCTGATGGAACCGTTTCTTGTTACGAATGATCTTGATCGCTTCGAGCCCTCCCGTCTTGTGGTCTACGCAACGCACAACCTGTCCGAAGCTGCCCTTGCCAAGAACATCAACAACTTCGTATCTGTATGCGAGATGGTCTCCCAAGACGATGTTGTAATCGCCACGTTCGTCGTCATAGCCAAAGTTTGCGGTCTGCGCATTAAGATCACCAACGTGCTTCTTGGCGTTCTTTGTTCCGCAGAAGTAGACCTCCTTGTAATCGATGATCTCACCCCTTTCGAATATGTTCAAATTGGCCATGCGCACAGCATCACTTGGACTGACACGCTCCTTGGCTGTGGCACGCTTACGAAGCTCGTCGACATCGCGCGCCGCATGCTCAAAGTCTTTCCGCTTCGAAGCAAGCTTCTTCATTTCTTCGTCGGCCAACATGTCATCTCTATCGAGGTTTGAATCGAGATTACGAGCTTTGAGCATGTTCGACGAGCTCTTCGTACCCAGCATCCGCTGCATCGGTGTCAAGATCGACGTTGACTTCTGTGTCGCCTGGCTATTAGCCTGGTCTGTGTGGCCCGATACCGCACGTGTTCCAGCATTCCCCACGGGCTTACGAGTACTTAATTTCTCGACCTCTGTATCACTTGCAACTGCTGTTGCAGAGGGTTTGCGGCGCCCGAAATCAAGGGATGGTCGACTCCCACTCTTGGCGGGACTTGGGCTTGTGCCAATAGCACCGCTCCAAGTAGCAGACGCAGGTAGCCGCGGTGGAGGCATTTCGCTGTGCTTGGGAGGCTGGGGTTGCTGTCTTGGTTCAC